TTGTGAAAATCGCGATTTTGCGATCGCACGACGACTACTATCCTAATCTAATGGGGGATTAAAAACAAAGACGTTTTATAGAATGGGAACAGACCGTGGGATTGGTTGTATTTCAAACTGTCGATACCTAAGTAGGAATAACATGGAGGTGCTGGTTGTGCACTTGTCCAATTTCATTGTGATGGTGACGGACGAGAAGGAAGAGGAGAAGTGGAGGAATGGGGTTTTCCGGTGGACTGTGGTTGAGTAGAACGGTCGTGTCATTCACTTTAGGCATTAAATGGAACTATCGGTTTGTTTAGACGAAACAAATTTGGTGAAAGGATCGTGGAGCTCGATTCGAGACGGGCAGTAGTCCGATTGTAAGTTTGCAGAAAGTTGGGGAAAAAAGAAGCGAATAAAGCAGCCTTTTCGGACTGAGCACTGTCCTGTTGCACGCCAGTAGCTGAGTTAGTGGACAAATTACAATACGAATTGAACATAGGGTAAACCGAAGGTGGTGATTCCGTTGGAGAGATCGAAGATGATGTTGGGGGTGTAGGAGATGTTTGGGCTCTGGACAGAAACCAACCAAGCGGATTTTTTGTATTTTGGTAAAAGGAGAAATCCGATCGTTTTTGAAGTGGATTCCTGAACGGTGCCAAATCCCTGGTATCATGTAGTATGGATGTGTGCGTAGTGATGGGAGATTTGTTGGGTGATGTATGTCGTTCCCCCGGCGAGTATTGATGCGCGGTTTGAGACGTGTCTAGCATCACGGGGTCAGTACCAAGACGATTGAGATTCATCCTATGGGTATTCGTTGTCGTGGTCTGATCAGTATCAGTAATCTCCAACCCAGCGCGGGTAGCTGTGGCTAGGCTCATCACATCCATAGGAGATGCACGATCGTACTGTCCGGTCATCTGACGCTTTTTGGTTTTGTAGCGTCTATTCTGGAACCATATCTTGACCTGAAGTGTAAGGAAGAGGGAGAGGTTCTCTGTCAGCGTTACCAACACTCCTGTAGAAAAGGGTGATAAATTTTCTTGAACAATAAAATCAATTAGATCGTGTGCTTGTGAATTCGTTTGGAATAAGAATATGAACTTATTGAAAGGGAACATCTCATGTATAATCGTTTGTTAATAAAACAAGTGGACCACTAACTGCATTTATCTCGTGCTAATTGAAGTGGGTATCGTTTACTGCTGTCATCATACAAGTAAACTTTGAAACCTCTGAAAGACTGTCATCATTTGAAGAGCAATACACTTTTAATCCAGAATTACTTGTGAGTATTTGCGCGGAATAAATGATATTGATTTAGATTGGTCATCTTTTGGACCTCATATTCAATCACAGTTCTCAGTTCATCCAGTCAAGTGTACACCGGAAATACTGGGACAGAGTTTCACCCTCGTTCAACCAGTGGTGCAAAACAAAAGCTCCTTCTGGAGTTTTAATTCCATTGCCTTGCATGGAAAGCGCGTATAAGCCGGACACGTATACATACAGTGCTTTTTATATAATAAATATAACAGTATTGACTCATTTACGCTTAAATTTAAAACATGAGTCGTTGAGTCATACATTCACTCCCACCTCTCTTCCCCTTCCTTGTCACCTTTAGTCAGAAGTTGTACGACAAATAAAATGTAAATCCACAGCTTTTTACTATTGATGCTGATCAACTATTCTATGTGTATGTTATGGCACTGATCGCTGTCTGCATGGTCGTGGCCCAAATCGATTGGTAAAAAAGTGAATATGCTTTATTGCTCTTTAGTACTGACATGAAATGAATCCCCAGATTAGAACTGTCCAGAGTACTCGCGTGCATTCATACGTACAGGAGTTTGAGCCTTTCGACAGTGTTTTGCCTGAGCCCTCTATTTTCACCGCTACACTACTTCCAATATTCCAATCTTCATCTAAATGGTTACCATAAGACAGCAAGGGAAACCAACACGCAAAAGTGCACCGATGGTGTTACCAATTCTTTGTTGGGCGAATGAATCACACATACAATGCTTTTAGACCTTGCCGGGGAATGTGAATCTCAAGGACGTTGTATGGCATAAACCAAACTGTCTCGTCTCTCCAAACACAGCTCAATGAGTCAACTTGCCATATCTCGTGTTCATAGTTTAAGAAGTGAATAGTATTCAGTGCTATCCAAATATTACTGCCATTTACTTTGGGTTTATACTCGTGGTAGATATACGGCTCAAACACTGGGTTGTGAAGCACAGTGAAATCCGGGTTTCCATGATTCATTTTCTTGTACGCCGAAATTTTTGTATAATAGGCAACAAAGAGCACTGTTTTTGTCTTTGTTCGTACACCGTTGAACTATCGCGTAGTGGTATTTTATCAAACCCGGGGCTTGAATTATGAAATTTCATATCGGGAGCCTGACAGTCGACAAATAAAACGCATTGACCGCAACGATACCAGTACCAGGCACAAAAGTCGATCGAAATGCATGCTCGTTCAAACTTGTTCAGTAGCATCGACCCAATTGAGGATAAAATCCGCACGGACAGTGTGCAAACTAACAGTTTACCGATCAAACACAATCTACGGTGAGACTTATTTAGCAACATCTGAAGAACAAATGCCGAAAAATCTGACAACACTGAATTAATATACTGTAAGTCATAAATGAAGTCCGCTATACTTTATTGCATAGTTATTTTTGAGAATTCTTCATTGGATGAAAGCACAAAATGAGCATACAAACTGTCTCACAATCCTACACGATACATATGACTAATTGCAAATAGAGAGTTCTAAACTTTGGAAATGGCTTTCGGTGAGAGTCAAATCGGGTGCTTAAATGCTTGTACAAATTGCTTTTGAGCACACATCGAGAGAGGTTGAGCAGACGGATACAGACTACCTCCACTGAGGCTAGAATACAAAACCGCACGGGCCTAGACAGTCCTGTTTTAACTCTATATAAGGATTGAAACGTTTCGTTCACGTTTATCGTGTGATTATTGCCAACAGGGTGTGAAAAGACCGTACTTGGAATGGTTTTAATGACCCCACTTCTCAGTTACGCAGGGTGGCACTCAGAGATTCTCTTGGAGAGACTTCTGATCGCACGGTAAATATATCTCGTTCCACAAGAAAAAGTGAAAGGACAAATGCTGAAAAAGGCAGAGGGATCGGGTCTTCTATGCTTCAGCGGTAGACACTTTAATGGATCAGAGGTGAATCGAGTTTGAAACTTGACTGTGTGTACCCCTTTTGATGGTGTGTCTGTCTTCCACTCCCTTGAATGATGAAGAGTTTTTGTAACGTTATTCCTTTCAGGAAACACCTGTTGACTTTGCATCACAGAATTCACTAAGTGTGCCGGGTATTCATCCATTTTAGATAATTATATATTTCCCATATTTCGCAGCTTATCAAGTGTCAGGTACTCTGTGAGGGTCATCTCAGCTCTGTTGACCAATCGAAATGTGAGATTTATTATTACGCTGAGGATCTTGATACGTCAGCAAAACTGTCTGGTTCTGTTTCGATGGTTAATTTTAAATTTTGATCTGCAACAGTGAAATGGTCGAAATGTTTACAGTTCGTCATGAAATCTACCACTTATGAACCCAAACACAGAAAAATATATGACGGTAGCTACTTGCCCAAGGAGATATACCTTGAAAATGCCCAAGTTTGTGAAACAAGCGAAAGAAATTCGACGCTTCTAAGACTATATTCTCCAATCGTGAACTAAAGATTAGGTCCCATGAATTTGATAAAAGAAATCAAATGTGCGAGGCATGACAGCGAAAATGACAAAGAATTATGTTTTTACTGAACGATTTACCAATGGGTTCAGATGAAGCATGTTATCATTCGCTAAACAAATGCGTGTATTACCAGAAAATCGTCCTTCATTTGCATAATAAAACATGTTCCATTTTTTATGCATCTCATGATCAGGTGGCTTTACTCTTCTCATCTTCCTCCTCCTCCATCTCAACATCATCATCACCATCATCATCATTGCCTACCTGTGTTTCAGAAAGTCGCAAATTCTTTGCTAGTTCCGCCCGCTCCGGCGCGGACAAGTAGCGTTGATAATTGAATCGGCGCTCGAGTTCATACACTTGAGCATGAGAAAATGCAGCTCTTGTGCGTTTCTTTCGTGCATTCGACAATGATAAATAGGTTCTGGAAACCGGAATCGATCCCGTGTGATGATGCTGCTGTGAACTGAAACGAGCTGATCCGGACTGATCATCCTCAGCATTGTTTAACTGCACCGTGTTTCGCCCGCGCAGACACGCGTACGAGTCTAGAGGTGGTGCAGTGGAAGTGAGGATGGACAGATCACTCATCAATCTGTTGGACCATTTGTTTTCGGAATCGATCATCGGTTGAATCCGGACTTGACTGAATGGGACAGCCTTGGCACAATCACCCAGGGCGACTGATTCAACCGTGGCACTGGGAATAGCTTCTTTGAGCCACGGGTATTTGAAATGAAGGTTTGTCTCTGAATGAGCAGCAACTACGCTTGGGGGAAAATTGCCACTGTTTAGTTTACAATGTATGCGAGCTTGCCCCTTGTCCGCCTCTCGATGTGTCGGATTCATCTGGCTCAACAGGTAATTCATAAATGCTAAGGATATAGGGTGAAAATAGAAAGAACAGGAACCTGTGGTGGCATCGAAGAAATAGTCGATCATCGGAAGATTCAAGTTAACAATAGTTTCTCTTTTTCAATCCCAATTTCAGTATACAATGACTGATCTATGGTACACAGAGAGGAAGTTCCTGATGAGTGGTTCCGTACGACTGATTACATCTAGCAAAAATTCTAATTTACCGATTACGAAAAACTGATAGAATGACAACTTTGCCAAAGGAAAACGAAAAGTTTAATTAAATGGAGATTATTTCCATAAATGTTGCTCCGCAAAGGTGCAGGCTAAAACTGGTGAAATTTGTATTCGTTCCGAAATTGACGACTCATTCTCGCACAAGTTCTTAGACCTGTCCAGCGAGAGATCCACTACTACTACTACTACTACTAATAATAATAATAATAATAATAATAATACTTCTATTGCTACTGAAAGAACCGTCAACCATCACGATTTCGGTTGGATTAGAGAACGGACTTGGTTGTTTAAAAATAGATATATTTTTTTGAATCAAAGATGGTTACTGCCTCTCATTGGACTACTCACAGGTCGGGTTATCCTCCAACGTAAGAGTCATTACCTCTTTTTATTCTATTTATCCCGATGATTCGTGTGTACTATAGTCGGAATTAAGTGGGGTTTTTTTTAAGCAAGTCAATTTCTGACGGATCTTGCCATTTAAATCTATTAGGCTCACATGCACAGGCCAATATGTTTGAAGAAACAATAGAGAAACGCAATGATGACATTTCAAGTCAATGAAACGGAATTCTGTTTCCAAGCCTTCCAGATAAGTGCATCCGTTCCCGTTTGCATTTCTCCGTGCCCCATTGAATACACGTGAACTTCGCGGTATCGATGTGTGACCAACACGTTCACGGTGATTATTTGCTGTTGTCACCATGCTGTTGTTGTCCATCGGTGTCAAATCACAACCAGACGCAAATGGAGGAGTCGTAACAATTATTATTATTAATATTATTATTACTATAATAGCACATCGTACTCGGGCAGTGTGCTCATTGTGTGTCAGCGATAATCTTCCGGAGGATTGATAGTTGCGATGGTACGTTGCGTTCTGTTGCATTCAATCGGCTCATTCTCAAAAGGAAAAGGAGAGCAACACATCATATACTTGGGTCACGTTTATGCCATCTGAGGTGTGAAAATCGTTGCCTAATTGTGAAGGCCGCAACCGAGCACACCCGCACGCATGAATCGAGAGATGAGGGTGGGGTGGGGTGAGAACGTTAATTTCCCACTTGCTGAGTAACCATTGTATGACGTGGATTCAATGTGTGAATTGTGTCATTCGTTGTCACATGATTATCGGTAAATATTTCAAGATAAGAGATACTAGTTTCGGGGGGGGGGGACAATAATCCATCCCACTCCCACCCCAGGACATCTCCTGAACCCAAATTTCGGTTTATCAAATCCTCGGGAATAGAGTGAACTAAAAAAGAGCAGGTAAATGACGCTGTGAACTGTTGTACCACATGTACCTCGTTGTGTTCAAACATAGTTGCACATTCCCGCGAAAGTGAGCAATGAACATTTTCGAAAGAGATATCACTTGATGCAATACAACTCATGATTTATTTACTCTTACTCTCCTGCGCATGCATGCTTACACTGGGATTGAACAAAAGCTGTCACTTGAAGATAATCAAATGTAGGGCAAAGATCACGGTCGCGTTGCCCCGGAGGTCCTACATTCGATTCCCATCACCAAGACTACACCCTTCCCCTCTTGATAGCCTTTTGATTGGCCGCTTCTATCATCCTGACAGTAGTAATACAGTATATACATATTCACCCGTTTCAGATAGACCGAGCTGTGGGAGATATGCTACTGGTACATTAAGTATCACATAAATCTACTCACTTTATTCGCCAATGCTCCTCTCACGGTTCACCGTGAAGCCAACTGTAGATTACCGGCGTTGCCCAGTCGGTGTGCAGCTCAAATTAGTCATGTTTTTGTCATGAATTCATTCAAACTACGACTGAATGAAACTCTGAAACAACACCCGTGAGTGAGCTTGTGGGTACTGTTTATTCTCTTGTTGCACAAAACTAGGGACCCAGTTTCAGCAATCTGATGAGAATGCATCACGCCTTCACCCTCACACGACGAATCACACTCTGCGGTTATTCATTATCATACAACTCAAACTGACACCAGTAACTCGTGCAACCACGTACACAACTCTAACGTAACAGGTCCACTGCAATGCGCGGTGTACTATAAAGCGGGCTACCAGTCAGCCGGTAAACAAAGCGATGTGTTGGAAACAAAGGGACTATTCATGAATGCACCAATACACCAATACACCGCACCCAACCTGTTTCCAGGTCTACCTCGAGTGATGGGCGGCTGGGAATAGAAATCAATCTGTTTAAAAGTACACGGTAGAAATTAGAATAAATCTGAAAAGATAGGTTTGCATGAACCATAAAGGTTCGATAAAGCAGAACAGTCTGGTGACTTTGGCTCAGATGCGAATTAACAATGTTTGAACAGTTCATTGTCGAATATCAGTTTAGTGTTTAATTTTAGTCCCACGTGGAAACCTCTAAGCGATTCACTTGAATTAGCGTCATCATTCGGTTTTTTTTCACGTGTTCCAAACGATTTTTTTATCAAATAATCGTAGCAACCGCTAATTCTATACTGGACAGAGTAATTATCAACCCTTGCTTACTCTTGGTTCAACTTAAAGTTTATTCACACTGTACATACAAATCTTTCTCCCGATCTGAGCATATCACCTACACGTGTTTCTCTCCTCAATGAATCTCTCAGATGGGCCTCTTTATAGTTTTCTTCATCTCCTTCTTCTCTATTCACATGTGTTCCCCTTTTCACCCAAACAATCAATGCCATTTTTAATTACTGCTGCCCTGTTCAAAGTCTTTATTTGTCCAACGGAAGAATAAACTCTGTCCTACTGAAGTCACTGCGACGACAAAAGGAACGTGCGTACAAATCTCACAATGGTTCAGCTGTCAGGTATTTGTCCAGGCTTATCAAAGCTGAAGTAAATAGATTGAACGCATTATTCCCTGATAGAATTCTGAGGACTGGAAACAGCAAACACCTGTGGCAAGGTGTAAGACTTCTCTGTGGAAGGAAGAAAGGACGGTCGAAGCTGGATGTGGATGCTGATGATCTCAATGCCGCATTCCTGCGCCAGTCATCGGACATTATTCCTGCCAACTCATCACAAAATGTTTGTAAAGTGGAACCATTCTCATATTGTGATGTGTTAAAGCTTTTAAAAAGTTGCAATTCGTCATCTGCTGCAGGCCCGGATGACTTACATGCAACCCTCTTCAAATTTGATTCTGCTTCCCTAGCTGGGGCAATTACCTTCATTGTCAATAGATCTCTTAACACTTCTACNCTACTATCCCCGACTGTTGGAGGCCGGTTACAATCATACCGATCCCCAAAGCACCCAAATCCTCTCAAAACGTTTCGCCCCATAGCATTAACATTTTCATCTCTTAAACTGACTGAAAAGGTCATCCTCAAACGCCTTCAACAGTTTATGCACATTCCCAGTGATCCTTACAGTTTGCTTACAAGCCTAATAGATCCACCTTGGACGCAGTCTCCACCCCCATTCATTTTATCACTAAGTCTTTGAACAGCTCTGTTATGTCTGTTCGGTGTGTTTTTCTCGATTACTCTTCTGCATTTGATTTCATTCCTAGATCTAAGTTGTTACAAAAACTGGAATTGTTTGAATGTCCCAAGCAGTTGTTAGTTTGGCTATTCAACTATTTTACTGATAGAGTACAAACCATTAGATAGGTGAAGTCTTCATCCAAACACTTAGTCAACAACTCCAGGGTTCTTCAAGGAGCTGTGCTATCCCCATATCAATTTTCCACTTATATTTGTGATATTCCCTGTGTTTCTCCCGCACGAATTTTGAAATATGCAGATGACGTCGTGTTGTGCCGGCCCATTTCTTCTTACTCTGATCTAAGCTTTCACCGACAATCTTGATCAAATTCAGTCATTCTCCTCTTCATCGGGGTTAACCCTGAACCCCAGTAAATGTGTTCAGTGTTTATATAGTTGTGCTCGCTCTCCATATCCGACAGACTCCACAGTAATTGCTAACAATCTTTTATACAGGGTGACCACAGATAGCAATCTTCATTGGTCAAACCACATCTACAACTGCATTGGTAAACTGCAGTGCTTAAAATACGAAAGCTCAGGCAGTTTCGCGCATCCCAGTCAGTTATTTCTACTTTTGTTTATCTGTGTGTTTTCCCCATCTTACTCTACCGTCCCCCAGTTATTCTTCCTGGCTTACTCAAGCAGGATTTTAAAGTCTTATACCGCGGTCTAACCTTTATTTGTCGTGTCTCTTCTATTCCTGTGAATGAGTTAGCAATAAAGCTTTCAGAGTATCACGTAGCTTATGTGTGAAACTGACTGAGAGGATTCGAACAGATCCTGACCACTGCAGGCAGAACTAGCACGTTATCGTTCTCATCATTCAACGCACTCCCAATTCCGTCAAATCTCATCTCGAATTAACGCTTACCGCAATTCACCTATACCGTATCTCGCTCGTCTACTCATAAACAAGGAGCGAATTTTGTCTTGGATTATGAAATGTCCCCATGTCTGTAAAAACTTTTCTCACCGTTTATTATGTACATTGTGACGGTTAGCGAATATGACTTTTTTTAACTGAAATGTGATCTCCAGTGCTTGCGAACGTCGTAGACAATACAATACAACAATACAACTATGCACTAGTTAATCCAATCTCGAGGATAATTTTCCGGCACTTTCTGTCACGTTGAATATTCCCAAACGTGTTCAGACCCCGTGGAACAGCTGGCTAATGGATACAAATCAAGCAACTGAACACGTTGCCCAAAGTCGCAGCATGCAGCATAGAACCGTAAATTACTGAGCCCGTCTCCAAACAGAGGATAGAATAACGGCCATTTGGACAGCTCCTTCCCAAACGCAGCATATTTTGACACTGAATAATCAGACCCGACCAATTAGCTATCGTGTCTTTTCGGATGTGCTATTATTTCGCATGGTAACCTATCTTTATAAGAACAAGCGGTGGAAAGCACCATGACGTGCACGAATTTGACCTACCACCAATCAAAGTCATATAATTCCCTAAGTCGCTCTACGATTAACACGGCGTTATGGGACGCATGTACGAAGAATAAGGCTGAGTTCCACAGGGGATGCAACCTGGTATCATATTTTGAAAACCGGTTATAGATTTATTCGTAAAGCTGACTTTGGTGTTTGTGGGGTATGGAGAATTGATTTCGGTAATCGCTGTATGCATCCTGATTCCCGCGCAAACGTATACAACATGAACACAATGATGAATAACCTCTTATTTTATCGTCGTCTTTGTATGTTTCCCTGCTGACCAGTATGCTAAGCACTACAACCACAGACAAGGGTGTGTCGTTTCGCTTGTGCTTGATTAATTTTACTTACGCACGGTCGGATGTTATCTGAGGTCAATATTGTTTGTAAATTTACTATCCCTTACTATTTACGGTTTATATGGGTTTATTTTTCCATTTACTTATTGCTTAGAATAACATTGTCTAGATGCATGTGTTTCTGCTAATGATGAGTATCGATTGATCGGCACTATTTTCAATTCAAAGTGTTCCAGTGTCTATCTAAAACGTTCGATTTGTTGTCGACGTAGTACCGAGACATCTTAACTTGAAAACAGATTAGGACATTTTTAAAGGAGTTTGAACTTACCGTCGTGGTTTGCTTGCACCAATTGCCAAAATTCTTCCTGTGTTTGATGATCCGCATCGGGAAATTTCAGCTCACTTGCTTTTGTCTCGGACTGATAACATTGTGCACTGTCAATCGGTGTTCGGTTAGTGTCAACATCACCGTCCGCTTTCTTGGCATTGTCACTCACGCACAGATCATGATAAGGTTTCTCTTGCTGATCTATTTCACTTGGGCCTGCACTGCCCTCATCCTGTTTTCGCAAACGCATTGACCTGGATGGTTTGTTCGAACCCAGTGGTAACCGATCCCGTGTAGATTGTGGTGCGTCTAATTCCCGCAATTTGTTTGTCTTGTCCTCGTGCGAACGGTTGGCATCCAGTAAATTCGCAATCGCAAACGCTGAACCCGTACAGCCCGACATGGTAGCAGTGGTAGTTTGGCGGATCGGAAGCAACGGGTAACACTGGATTGAATTTGTGCTTAAAGTCATGCTTAAATGTCGCATTTCATCGCTAATGGGTTTACATTTAGGCTTGTGTGAGTTTCCGAAAGCAGCGCGTGCACGCGCATGCATACATGCACGCACAGGCGGGCAGGGAACCCGTACACACACACACACACCCTCAGTTTGGATTCTGCTGACCGGCCTCTCTCACGCGTGCGATGCGGTCGTGATAAAGCGGATGTCATACCATCGCGGTGGGGTGGAGGGAAGGGAAGAAGGACGAAAGATATGGTGGAATAAGCGAGAGGAAGCCGCTTCGACTTGGTCTACTTGATGGACGAACGTCCTAGATTGTGTGAAAGAGGGACCCCTCTTACGGAGAGAACAAGTTATGAATGACGTCGTGCGCGTGTGTGCAAGCGTAATAGAGGGGAAGACGGACAAATGTGTCACTCGCGCATGCACATCCAAATGTACACACGCTCGCCTGTCCGCACACACGCACGCACTCCCTCATTCTAGGTGGGAAACTCGAGTTTGCCGAGAGAGTGGATTGGCTATTTTGTGCGCGCTCTTCCACGTGGTCTTTGGAATTACGACTTGGTCTGCGGAACTTCGATTATCATTGGTGAAGTGCCAGTCGGGCAGCGTCCGGCTGCTGACCTGTCGGTTGAACGCCATCCAACGAGTTAGCTATAAAACATTCACAAATTGGTGTAAAACTGCACCATTACCGAATGCCGCCGATACACACACAGACACACACACACATGTTAGGGCTTGACGCACGCAAACAAGCGCACATGCATCTCCGTGGCAGTTGTGTTGGCTAATCATGGTTTATTCATTCCAATTGATTTTTTCACGGCTACTTAGTAGTTCCAATTGTAGTCGTGTTCGTGCAAAAACAGCACCAGCAGCATCAGCAACAGCAGTAGCAACGAAGATCACGACAACAACAACAACCGAACAGTCGGGAACGGACGAACAGACCGGAAAGAAATGTTCGGGCAAGTGCGCATCGATTGGTCTTTAAAACCAATGTGCTCCTGAGAAGTGCGAGGCTAGTCAACGATAACTACATATACTGCTGCGTGATTTCATCTTATCATTATTGTTATCATGGAAATTGCACCATGGTTGAACAAAATATTCACATCGTATACAAGACAGAATAGGTCGATAATTCAATTGGATAGAAATAAAATCGACCGACTAAGATCAGAGATTTAAACTTGTTTCGTTGTGAGTGTGAAGAAAGTAGAGACTGGCTACCTACCAGTTAAACTTTCGAACAAAATCGGCACCGTGTGTGACGCAATCAATAATAATCAATAATAATAATAATAATGTTTACATCTGCACATAACATATATACGCATATTGAAAACAAGCAAACAAATCTTTCCGTTAGTACCGGTACGCGTTTTCAGAGAGAGAGAGAGACAGAGAGTGCTGGTTTCCCCCCAGACCTGTCACCTGTCAATACACACCCCTAGGCGGTTGACTGTGATGGCTTGTTAAGGACAGTGACAGATAACTGGGTTAATTCGGCATTTATTCTGACCGGGAATTATTGAATTGAACGTGGTCCTAACTAACTTCCCGGAATAAGGCAATATGAATTGCGCGAATGGGCGGGCCATACAGCGATTATAACGTTCCCCATTGCTTAAATCTATTAACTTCATGGCAGATCAAATACCGGACTGGTATCATGGTTAAGGAAATCGGTACTTGGATCGGTTCAACTTACAAACAAACGTGTTTGGCTTTTTGTTTACCGGAAAAAGAAGGGATCGCTCTGAGGTCTAATGATAAACAGCCTACTCAAATAGGTGGGTGCTGACAGAAATAGACAAACCGCTGGTCACAGAAGATCCGAGTAAAGAACCGCTGGTCAGAGGGTAAGAATGGTTCTGCCTACTCCATTTATTATAATGAGGCAAATCTGAGAAATGTGAATTTCCATATTTTAGGACCATTGAAGATGTGTTTTACGAGTTTGACGATTTACGCGTTCCCATTGGGAGCGTTTTTATTAACGACTTACCTAGAACTTTTGCATGAAAAGGTACAATAAAAAGGTACAAAAAATAGGATATACCCCCCCCCCACATGATGCTTTTGATATCAGTTAACAATTATGAAATATATGCCAAGACATGTATCACTGTTGTACTTTATTTGACTAACGGTAATGAATGTCTTCTAACTGCAACCTATTTAAGATGTTTCATTACAGTCAGTATCATGGATTCACATCTAGTCAACTAGAAAACTTTTCTCCCTTCTCCCTCCCCGGATTATCTTCCATTTGGAGCGTGTTCAGATTCAATCCCGCTAATCTCACACATTCCTAATCCGAGAGACACACGTGTGGATGTTTCATCATACTGAGCTATCTTCAACAACATTGGCCGTATTGGTGCAGTCGTATAGGAGTAAAAAGAGGGACTTTAATTCTCAGTGTTGAGGTGTCCTAAGTGCATTCTATTTTTCATTCATTAACTTCCTGATTCACAGTAAATGCGATCACGGGTGATTGTTAGACTTACTGCACTGGTAGAACCGCACACTGACTACGGTATATATTCGTCACACATGCCACAGTTTCAATACCCCGTAAATTCGTTTGTTTATTTGTTTGCCTGTGTACAGTGCATATCATAAATGATCGAACGACCTTCAGCTAACTATTTTCAGCAACTTACTACTCGTGAAGAGCCAAATGAATTCCCTCATTGCCGAGGGTATGTAGGCCTTATGTAAGAACCTTCTCTCTCACACCTGTAGGCGCGTTTCTCGCCTGTGGAATTAGCCGTGAAAAAAGCAGTACGATATTCAAATACCTCATCCAAATATGATTGATAGCTCAAACATCTACAACGAGTTCATATAAATTGAAACTAGAACAGCTGTACAGCCCAACGATTCCAGAACTGCCAAATAATTATTTGAACTCCTTTTTCGGATTAATCGCTTGTATTCCCCGGCGTCGGACATTTCGAATATTCTTCCACATTTTCACTTATCAAATCATCTATGGTAGATGGTAAAATTAGTTGGAAATCAAAAAGACGAGTCTATGAGTCTAGATGTCGAGGCACACTGTGTTAACTTCGTGCTACGGTGGGGCGCATATTCCGGTTAAAACATTTTACACTTCATCTGTGATCGCAGCTTTGGACTATATCTTTATATTTTTTATATGTTCTCTATCTTTTGAAAATGAAAGACTGATGTTATTTAGCAAATATTAGATCATGAATCAAGAGGAAAGGGTTCGGTCAACTTTTGTAGAAAGATCGTAATAAGTGGTCCGAACATGGCCAACGGAACTTCGTCAGTACCTGTTCCCTAAAGACCAACCCTTATGTGGTTCATATAAGTAAGCTATACCGCGAATGCGTGTGAAACGCCCAAAAGCAAACGAATTGTGGTCTTCATCGATTTCCGAATCGTCACTCAAACAATAGGTCTGATGCTAGTACATTTTCTCCCACTCTGCAGAAAGGTAAATCTGATACCATATATGTTCGACGGTTTAGTGATGCCTTCAATTGTTCAGGCAAGAATACTCTGATCTATACTGTTCCTGTGTTTCTGGCGGGACCTTTAAATTTGGTCGCACTGTTGTTTTCCGTTCGATCATTGATAGATAGACATTAAAGTTTTCTTTGTTTTTATGCACGAGTTGCTCTGTGTTTTTTTACTGTTTTTTTATTACACGGAAGTGAACACAGTAAAAGGGATAAACCCCATGATCCGAAGATATACTGTAAGTGGGAAGGTATGGGGAACATTCAAGCTAAACCCAGCTTGTTGATTCTGCATTTAAAAACATGGATGTTGTACGTTGGAGGGAAGACCGAAAGGGAGAGAGGGGGAGAGTGTTCCACAGTTGTGCTGTTCTTGGGAAAAAAGGATGATTGAAAGTTAGAAATGCGACACCTGGGGATAGTCACTTGAAATGGGTGACTAGCCGCTTGTGCGCGGGATCTACGAGGAAGAACAGGTGGTAGAGGGACAGATGCGGAAAGTTCATCAGAGCAAAAACCAAAGTAACATCGATAGAACAAGGATAAAGAAGTGACTGCCCGACGGTGAGCTAGTGACTGCAAGTTGGATGTTAGGGACGGGTCGTTGATGAGATGGATGGCCTTGTGTTGAACCCGAAGAAGAAGCTCCACTTCACACGACTGTAGTATTCAAGTGTAGGGCGAATTTGAGCTTTGTAAAGCGAGAGGAGGTGAATGGAGGTGAAAAAACGTCTGGCGCGAAAGAGGAAACCAATTTTGCGCGCAGCGCCGGAAACAAGTAGATAAATATGAGGTGGCCATGAAAGAGAAGCAGATAAGGAAAGACCCAGTAGGTTGCATGATTCTGTGGAACGGAGAGTGTTCGAGTTGAAATTCAAGGAAGGGGAGAAAGATGTGTGTTTAAGAGA